CATAATGGAATGTTACTCTTGACCATGAATGATTTCCATGTAGCAGTACTCATCTGAATTGGCTTTCAATGTCTTTGCCTTTGATTTCAAGGGCTGGGCTGTTCCTGGCTGAATACAAAACCTGTTTGGGGATACCCACCTAACTGTCTCTGTCCTTTGTTTGGAATAATCTTTGTTCCTCTGTGTCTGAGTAGGCATGCCGATCTTGTGCACATTTTCAGGAATTCACTTGTTTACACTTCACTTCTTTATTGCACAACAATATGCATAAACTTATAGAAATTATAATCAATGCTCTATAGAAATGTGGTAGCATTTGAAATGTTTCCAAGCAAAATTCTGGCTTTGATTGTTTTTGATAGTAGTATCAGACAAACAGACCACTCTGAGACCACCCACAACACACATGTCCAAGAATGAGTGTTTGACAGCAACAGCAATGTGGTGGAGGGAGTGGAAAGACCAGTGTCATTCAAGGGCACACACAAGGTGCTACTTACCTTGCTGATCAGATGCAAGACTCCTAGTGTATACAAGTGCTTGTGCAACTCTATTCTTCCCTGATCCAACTCCTATGGGAGACAACAGAGCTTGCTCCATACAGTACACAGGACATGACTCCCTCCTTGCAACCTTGATGTCCATTGGACTCTGTGAGAGTGAATATGGGCTGTTGAAACACCCCCAAGTGCCATCTGACACTGATTCTTTGCAGCCAACGCCCTTCCTTGGTTTGGATTGATGGGAGTGGGACAGATCTCAGCTCAGTGGTCCCGTGAATGTGTTGGTGAGCATCCTGAGGCAGGGCAGAGCAGAACATCTCTGACTGCTGCCCCTGCAGTGGGTACTGGTGTCCCACATGTTTCCCCTGTTTAGTGGCATCTGGTCTATTCAGTTTGGCACTTAGTGATTGAGTCACTGGCCCAGGTGTTTCTGTTACTCCTGGGTGACTGAAGGGTGCACAGCTGGGGCGGAGAGAGTCTGACTACCAACACACAACAAGGGAGGTTGTGGGCAAATGGGTTCTCCCGCCCCTGTAGCGATGAAGCTATCTGCTACCCTGGAATGGTGATTGCCCCATCACCTATTGGGGCATAGCTGTGAAAGGCTGTGGGCAAGGTAAACAGCTGGTAGGTACCTTTTCCCTAGTTCCCCATCCCCCCGAGGAATGGGATGCAGCATGGCCTTGGCATCTCACTGCACAGGTGTTTTGTGTATAGGAATATAGCTTGGTCTGTGCTTGTCTGATACAGTTGGCAGATCTGCTCTTGGGATCCTTAAGAGTTCTGCACTGCAAGGAACTCCCTCTGCGAGGTACAACACACTCTGCATTGTGCACCCACTCCTGCTCCTTCTGATCTAGCTCTAAATCAGTTGCAAGCCTTCTATATAGGTGGCTGCACTTCAGTATGCAGATTGATGGCTGTTTGCTTGGTAGAGTCTGTTTCTAAAGTATAGAGTCTGGACGTAGTCCTACCAGACAGCCAATGAAAGACAGACCTCTAATTTATCCTTCAAAAATGGTGGTTCTTCGAGTGCCAGTCCCTATGTGTATTCCAATCAGACTCTGCCCTCGCTTGCCCCTGTTACTGAAGTGACACTGCTGAGTAGCATGCACCTCAGCCCACTGTTACAAGGGATGTTTGCCTGGCCCAGATCTGACTAGAACCAGGCAGGTTTTGAAGCCTGGAACTCTGAGTCCTGTACCGGGGAAGGGGTAAGCAGAGAGGGGGAAGGGGCCCCCAAATCTAACTATCCTTAAGGTATTTACCTTTTTTTTCCAGTTATTACAGGAACAATCAGAGTTTCAATCTGCAGATAATGAAGGGTTCAGTCTCGGACCATCAGTGGTGAGAAAGGACAGGAGAGGTGGCTGGTCTGCACCGCCCCTTATACCATTTGATCAAAGCATGAGGAGAGAAAGAGCATAGGTGTGGCCCAACAGACACTACGAGCAAGAATCTATTGTCAAAGGGTTCAGCCAAAGTATCCCTGAAACTATTGATGAACAGCATGTACATAGATTCATAGACACTAAGGTCAGAAGGGACCATTATGATGATCTAGTCTGACCTCCTGCAGAACACAGGCCACAGAATCTCACCCACCCACTCCTGCGATAAACCTCTCACCTACATCTTTGCTATTGAAGTCATCAAATTGTGGTTTAAAGACTTCAAGGAGCAGAGAATCCTCCAGCAACTGACCCGTGCCCCAAGCTACAGAGGAAGGTGAAAAACCCCCAGGGCCTCTTCCAATCTGCCCTGGAGGAAAATTCCTTCCCGACCCCAAATATGGCGATCAGCTAAACCCTGAGCATATGGGCAAGATTCACCAGCCAGCTACCCAGGAAAGAATTCTCTGTAGTAACTCAGATCCCACCCCATCTAACATCCCATCACAGGCCATTGGGCCTATTTACCATGAATAGTTAAAGATCAATTAATTGCCAAAATCAAGTCATCCCATCATACCTTCTCCTCCAGAAACTTATCTAGAAGTGATCAAATCAGTCTGGCCTAGACTATCTCGGATGCAGCACTTTATGCTTCAGTGTGAATATCTACCATCCGGTAACAGCTCCTCCTTATAAAAAATGTTGAGACTATTCAATGTGAAATTCTGCAGTTGACTGAAGGAGGAAAATTAAAACACGAAAGAAAGATCAGTCAACTGCAAAGATAGCACTTAATTAACGAAAAAAATCCCCTTGTTTGAAAGCATACATGACGTACACTGGAGAAGATGTAAGAAATAGGATGACAGCTAATTTCAGTGTATAGTGGTGTGAATGTATATCGAGCAGACAGAAATAAGGAAGATTGAAGCTTCCAAGGTAAAAATAAAACTTGCCATTCTCGAAGCTGGGAGGGAAGCTTCTATGTTGTTGGGTTTATGGCATGTTTGGAAAAGGATAGCTGTATGTTTACTATTTCCCCCCAAATCAATCCACCAGAATAAATAAAGGAGCGATCTGAGAGTGTCACTGGCTTTCAAATGTAAAATACTTGTGTCCACAAAGCCTTACTAGAGGCTCAACAGGCATTCAATCAATATCAAGAGTGGAATACAGACCTCAAGCTTGGACCAGTGTGAACCCATCAACATGGGATACATTTTAAGCTGCAGCAGGCTCCTCAAGTAGAGGGACTGAAATGTTTTTAAACTGTAGCATAACCCAGAGAAAGGGTTTAAAAGGGAGGAAATACAGCAGTTTGCCAGCTCAAGGCACCTCCAACAACCAAAGGAGACAGCAATGATCCAGACCTGCTTTACATGCATAATGTAAAAGAGGAAGGGGTTGCAAACACTTTGAAGGAAAGGAAAGAGCCCCTTGTTGATAGAGAGGAGAATAGATATTGGGTACTATTCAGAAAAATACATATAGCAGCTCTATTCCTGGGGCCACATCGCCCTCTATTCCTGCATGGGTTATTCCTGCAGAGGAAACCAGAAACTGTGCTTGTTTTAGGATTGCCATGTCCAGTTTTCGATTGGAACGCTCAGAAGAGGGACCCAGGTGGCTCCGGTCCGCACCGCCGACCGGGCCATTAAATGTCCGTTCAGTGATGCTGCAGGGCTAAGGCAGGCTAGTCGCTACCTGTTCTGGTACCACGATGCACACCGGAAGCGGCCAGCACGTCCAGCTCCTAGGCAGGAGTGTGTGTATGGGGGGGGGGGTCTCCACGCGCTGCCCCCGCACTGACTCTGCAGTCCCATTCAACAGGAACTGTGGCCAATGGCAGCTGGGGTGGGTGGTGCCTGCGGGTGAGAGCAGCGCGCAGAGCCTTCTGTCCCTCCAGCCTAGGAGCCGGACCTGCTGGCTGCTTCCAGGGCACAGCACGGAGCCAGGACGGGGGACTAGCCTGCCTTAGACCCACTGTGCCACTGACCGGGAGCCATCCGAGGTACGTCCGCACCCCAACCACGAGCCCCAGCCCTGAGCCCCCCCAAACCTGGAGCTCCCTCCTGCACCCTAAACCCCTCATCCCCTGCCCACCCCAAAGCCCGGACACCCAGCCAGAGCCTCACCCCCTCCTACACCCAACTCCCTTCCCCGCCCAGAGTCCCCTCCCTCACCTTGAACCCTCATTTCTGGCCCCACCTTGGGGCCCGCACCCCGAGTTAGAGCTCTCACCCTCTCCCACACCCCAACCCCTCAATAACTTTTTTCCTTTTTCTTAGCTAATAAACCTTTAGTTAGTTTACTATAGAACTGGCTATCAGCATTGTCTTTGGTGTGAGACCTGGATGTGTGAATGGTCTCTTGGGACTGGGTGTAACCTGAATATTTTGTGATTTTTGTTTTCATCTAAGTGGCCATTTATCATATAGTCTAGCTTGCCTGGATGGCAAGATAGACTGGAGTGCCTAAGGGGACCATCTGTGACTCCATTATAAGACTACTGTGGTACTTTGGGAGTTCGCATTTGATACTGTGTTTGTGAAATCTAATTCTAGAATGTACCATCAGTTTGGGGGCTCTGCCCTGCTTTTGACAGCCTGCGCTGACGTAAGCACTCACAGTCATGAGCCATGCCAGACAGCTTGACACCCCGCTCATTGAGTATTGGGCCTACCCTGTCCTTGGTCTTCCTCTTGCTTCTAACGTATTTTTAAAATGTTTTCTTATTACCTTTTATGTTCCTAGCGAGTTTAATCTTGTTTTGTTCCTTGGCCTTTGTCAAGGTTCCTTCCCCACTCTGAACTCTAGGGTACAGATGTGGGGAGCTGCATGAAAGACCCCCTAAGCTTATTCTTACCAGCTTAGTTAAAAACTTCCTCAAGGTACAAACTTTGCTTTGTCCTTGAACCCTATGCTGCAACCACCAAGCGTGTTAAACAAAGAACAGGGAAAAAGCCCACTTGGAGATGTCTCTCCCCCCTCAGGCCCTACACCCCCTTTCCTGGAGAAGGCTTGAGAAAAATCCTCTCCAATTTGCATAGGTGAACACAGACCCAAACCCTTGGATCTTAAGAACAATGCAAAAACAATCAGGTTCTTAAAAGAACAATTTTAATTAAAGAAAAAGTAAAAGAATCACCTCTGTAAAATCAGGATGGTAAATACCTCACAGGGTAATCAGATTCAAAACATAGAGAATCCCTCTAGGCAAAACCTTAAGTTACAAAAAGACACAAAAACAGGAATATACATTCCATTCAGCACAACCTGTTTTACCAGCCATTAAACAAAAGGAAATGTAACGCATTTTTAGCTAGATTACTTACTAACTTAACAGAAGTTCTGAAGAGCATTCCTGATCTGTTCCCGGCAAAAGCATCACACAGACAGACAGAGCCTTTGTTTCCCCCCCGACCCTCCAGCTTTGAAAGTATCTTGTCTCCTCATTGGTCATTTTGGTCAGTGCCAGCGAGGTTATCTTAGCTTCTTAACCCTTTACAGGTAAAAGGGTTTTGCTTCTGGCCAGAAGGGATTTATAGTTCTGTATACAGAAAGGTGGTTACCCTTCCCTTTATATTGATGACAACCTTTTTAATTTCTTATGTTTTCATTTTTGATTCATCCCTTCATAATTTGACCTTAGTTTCCACATTTTAATGATTGTTCTTTTTTGAGTTTCAGGTTACTGAAGATCTCCTGGTTAAGCCAGGGTGGTCTCTTACCATACTTCCTATCTTTCCTATGCATTGGGATAGTTTGCTCTCATGCTGTTAGTAATGTCTCTTTGAAAAACTGTCAAATATCCTGTAATCTTTTTTTTCCCCTTAGGGCTGATCTAACTTTGTAATGTAGACCAATGTACATCGCCTTGTGTCGACCTAGTTGTTAGTGTGTCTATGGCCATGTCTACACTACAAACTTTGGTTGACACAAGTTATGTCAGCATAAAAGCCGCTGCAGTTGTGTGCATGCATACTTGGCTCCTTGCATCAGCACAATGCGTACTCACCAGGAGTGCTTGTGTCCATGCACAGTGTGTTGCACAATGGGTAAGTATCCCAGTGGGCAACCTGCCACCATCCAGTGCACTCTCTTTTGTGAAGATTTGGTCATGCATACTGGGGCAGAAATGACTCACACAGGAGTGACTGGGAACAAGGGATTAATTTCTCAGTGTGCAAATGTCTCCATCCCATAAGTCACCTATATCCCATAATTTTTGCACCTTTTTAAAAATCCCATGAATCTGTCCGGCCCTCCTCATTGTCTGCCATAAGAACATAAGAAAGGCCAGACTGGGTCCGACCAAAGGTCCATCTAACTCAGTATCCTGTCTTCTGACAGTGACCAATGCCAGGTGCCCAAGAGGGAATGACTAGAACAGGTAATCATCAAGTGATCCATCCCCTGTCGCCCATTCCCAACTTCTGGCAAAGGCTAGAGACACCATCCCTGCCCATCCTAGCTAATAGCAATTGATGGATCTATCCTCCATGAATTTATCTAGTTCTTTTTTGACCCCGTTAGTCTTGGCCTTCACAATAGCCTCTGGCAAAGAGTTCCATAGGTTGACAGTGTGTTGTGTGAAGAAATACTTCCTTTTGTTTGTTTTAAACCTGCTGCCATCTCTGACACAAGCATGGAGCCTGCAATATGCAGGACATAGTGGATGGATTTGCAACAATGGGGTTCCCACACTGATGGAGCAATAGAGAGCATGCATATCCCAATTTTGTCACCATACCACCTTGCCACAGAGCTCATTACCAGAAAGGGCTACTTTTCCATGGTTATACTAGCAATGGTGGATCATTGGGGATGCTTCACTAACATCAGTGTCGGCTGGTTGGGGAAGGTGCATGAAGTTCACATCTTTAAGAACACAGAAGTGTTTAGAAAGCTACAAGCTGGGAATTTGTTTCCTGACTGGTGAATTACCATTGGCAATGCTGAAATGCCAACAGTGATCCTAGAGGACCCAGCTTAGCCCTTGCTTCCCTGGCTCATGAAGCCGTACACTGGCCTCCTTGACAGCACCAAGGAAAGAATCAACTACCAGCTCAGCAGGTGCAGAATGACAGTTGAATGTGCTTTTGGTAGAGTGAAGAGACACTGGCATTGTTTACTCAGAAGATTGGATCTCAGTGAGAAAAATGTCCAAATGGTTATAGCTGCCTGCTGTGTCCTGCATAATATCTGTGTTTCAAAGGGGGAAATGGAGGTGGAGCAGGTGTTTGCTGAGTTTGAACAGCCAGGCACAGGGCTATTTGAAAAGCTCCACATGAATCTATACGGCTTAGGGCGGCTTTGAAAAAGCACTTTAACAGTGAGCCACCTTAATGCATTGCTGTACCTGGCCCGGCTGTTTTGGGGCCTGTTGGGAATTGGTGTACATCTATGAATATAACACTGACACTGTACCTACTAATTTTGTGGTGCTTGCTGTACATTTATAATTATTATATTGTTTTTTATCACTGATCCTATGTGTTGTCACCCCGTACAATAACAAGTAAGTGGGTGCTCTCACTGCTGCTAGGCCCTCTACAGAATATGCTGTGAACTAATGAAGATGAATTATTTTCCAAGTAATAGAATTTTATTCAGTAACAAAATCAGTGCAAATAAAAATTTGTGCAATTTAAAAGCAAATGCATTAAAAACTTAATACATTAATGGAACAGAACTTAACATGGGGAAAGAACATTCATGTCCATTTTACCTACACACGCAGGAACTGTGGCTTTCACAGGTCAGTGTATGTGAAGCTGTGGTTGTCCTTAATGTTCCTTAGGGTGGAGTGGTAGAGGTAGGGATGTGCCTTCTGATGCCATGTGGAATATTTAGGGCGGTGGGGTGGGGTTCAGGAGGTGCTATGCTGAAGTTATCCATGGACTGCAAAGGGAGGGGAGCCTGTGATTGTTGAAGCTGCAAGAATCTGAAGCATCTGTGTATACTGCCAGAGAAGCCCCATTATGTCCTGGTGGATCTCCATCTCCTTTTCCTGACAGGATTCCTGACCCTTTCTCCTCTCTGCTCTTTTCTTCTCCAGCTGTCAGCAATGTTCATGCTCCAGGCCCTTTGCTCACAGACTGATGCAGCGCTGGCTTGCAGGATCTCATTGAACATGTCAACCTGAGTCTTCTTTCTCCTCCTTATCTGGCTCAGGCATTCCACATATGTGGAGTATGAGCCCCTCAAAGTAACAAGGCAGCAGCTACAGATAAAACACACCAAGTTACCACTGTCAGTATAATCACAGTGGAAGGTGAAAGTTAAGATTCAGAACTCCCTTCCCTTGTGCCCCTAAAGTTTTAAACCAGACATGCTCATTGATGCTTCTGCTTTGGAATGCTTATGCATGGTACCACTCACAGCACCGGCCATGGGAACTGAGGAGGGAATTCCTTGGTTGCATGAAACTATGAGTATAGGGTGATGGCACTGAATACTGGCACCATTTCCCACTAGCGGTGGTACTTTAAGCTGATATCTCATTCCTAAGGGTAACAAAGGCAGAGAGAGCACAACTGCTGGTGGTGTCCTAAAGCCAAGCAGGCCTGTATGCTGCCTACCCTGTTTACTACAATGGTGCCTGCTGAAGTTATCTCTGACTAGCATGGGAAAGTGTCCTACTGCAGAGGAAGAAATAAGCCTACTGTCCGTAGAAACTTTCAGGAGACAATTGCACAGTACCTCCATGAAAGTTTAATCGAGATCCCTCAGGAGGATTCAAGGGACATCCTGTGTACTTAAACACACTGCTCCATGTGGTTCCCCTGCCTAACTCTACAGAGGAATGAAAAGCAGAGAACACTACCTCTCTTTGTTGTACCACTATCTCTTCTAGCATGAGTAAATTAATGGAAAGTCAATAGCTGTATTCCGTTAAGTTGGGGCTGCCATCAGGACATCAATGTAATAGAAAATACAATTACACATTTCTTTGAGGTTCCTTCCCTTGCATCGGGCTTGCTTGTGCTCGACTGCTGGAACTGACTGGCCTGCGGTGGAATCTCAAATAGGTCCTGGCTCGGGGCATAGGCAGACCCCCCCCCCCCGGTTGCATGTCCCCCATCCTCCACCTCCTCCTCGTCCTTGCTGTTCACAGCAGAAGCCTGTGACTAGGGCACCATTGCTGTAAACAGGTTAGCAGCATATGGGCCCGGATGGCTTTAGGACAACAGCAGCAGCTGTGCTCTCTGTGCCTTTGTAACCCTCAGGAATGAGGTATCAGCTAAAATCACCACTGCCACTGGAAAATGATGCCAGTATTGAGTGCCATTGCCCCATATTCATAGTTGCATGCAACCAAGGAACTCCCTGCTCATTTCCCTCTCCACTAGCCACCCATCCTCACCATTGCTGGTGGTGAGAGTGGCATCGCACACAAGAAAAATATCTGCTTTTTCTGTAAATAAACTTCAAGTGTGCACGTCAGGGAAACTCTGACCTGCTTTTGGGCCATGCTGTTGGCAATACTGGTATGGGAAACTTCCAACTTGTTTACAAATGTAAATCTACCGACTTTCACCTGATTGTTATTAAGAATAAAGGTTTTAACTTTGCTTTTTTCATGGAGACAGCAAATAAGTAAAACTTTTCTTTATTTCATTTTAGTATTATTTTCTTTCCCCAAAAATTATACTGAGCACATAATGTGTACAATTAATTATAGAGGGCTAATTAAAACTGTAATACCGAATTCTATTTCACTTTAATATTCTTTTTTTCCCCCCAAATTTTTTTTTACTCAGCACATAATGTGTTCAATTAATTATAGAGGACTAATTAAAACTGTAATATTGAATTCTATTTTCATTAACAGCCATATGTTATTACTTGAAGCACTTCCATGGGACAATACAAATATTGCTCAGAGCATTTTGAAGGAATTATGCTAACTAAAAACTAAGCTACTACAATTTTCATATTTAGCAGGACAATTACTGCTGGGATAGATTTTAGTATAGTCACCAAATGAGTGCTACTGCTTAAAATAAGATTTAAGAACCATCTTGTTAAAATTATAAGGGATACAATTAACAATAAGTTGTGTTGACTTGCAAATTCAGATGAATGATTTCATTACTGAAACAAGCTGATAATTAAAGCTTCACGGTAAGAGAATGAGTTGCCTTGTGTATTAGCCAGCCTTTTACAATAGTATTAGGTATGATAATGAGGGAGTATTTAAAATACAGATGAAGATTCTGTTAGAGCTTTCCCTAGCTTAACACAGCTGTGGTGAGGGAGCACAGTTGCTGCACTGAGACCATCTTCTGAAGATGTTTTGGATTTGGAGGGCAGAGGCAGGCAGAATGTGTCTGGGGTACTGAAGAGGCTCATTAGTAGAGGCTCATTTTTTACACTGTAGCATCGTTCTACCAGCTTCAGCCTGTCAGCCACGCAGAAGGGAGTAGGTGAAGGAGGTAAGACCATAGCCCTATCTCCGTCATGCTACACCCTTTTGGAATACTTTGCACAACTAGTGGTGCCGTGGCTACCACGTTCTTGAACTCGGGGATCACAAAGACCTGGACTGTAACTTCCCCGGCTCATAGGTGTGCAGGCTCAGGGGGAAGGTTCCTTCTGGCCATTTACCTTCTTACATAGCCAGGGAGAGGCTAGACACAATCTGGCCCTTAATTTGTTAAAAGCTGTAAGGTAGGAATTAGCTTGCCTTGGCTTAGAAGGTTTAGGTTCAAAGTATTTTCAGTTTGAACCCCAAAGTTAGGCCAGCTGTTGACCTTTTCGTGGTGAAGTTAATACCTTGGGCTAATGAAGTAGTGCGTATATGTGAGGAAAGGTGGATCCCAATTTGAATTTCATATCATGGGTTAATCGAGCAACCTTTTAGGAGGGGATGCAGCCATCTCAGGCCAAAAGTTTTTAGTCCTGCTAACTAAACCAGCTATTTATACTGCAGCTATGAATGCCACTAGCTTAGGAGTAAATGTCTGCTATAGATCACTAACCATGACATTAAAGATGTTCTTAATTGTGACTGCAGGTGCACATGAGGCCCTGTTGCTGTAGTCTGATTTCATTACATTTCTTGATTACTCATCCACGTCATCATATTCCTTCTCCTTTTCTACATTTGCTGAAAGGTTTGTTTCCAAAAGATGCCAGCATGTGGGCATTTTCAGGGGTTATGGTATCCTTTGTTGAGATGGGAAAGTACCAGCAGTAGAGTTGAAAGATTTTCCTTTTGGAATTTGAATCCAGAGTGACCTCTCCAAAATGTTCCTGTTTTATAGTAACTTTTGAATTGTTTAAAAACAGTAAATGCAAATGTTAGAATTCTCTTAGGTCAAAAATGTCTTCAAAGTGATCCAGACTAAAAATGGTTTTCTATGTTTCTGTTGTTCATCTCACTGGCTCTGAATTTAGAATTGGGTAGCAAAGGGCATGCTGTAGATCCTATTTCTTGCCATTTAATTCACAGATGGTGCTGACCCAGGTTTGGCATAAGATGGACAGAGATGACTGTCACCTTTGTCATTACAGTTGTCTCATGCTCATTTAAAATAATTGCACTCATTGCTCTGTCACTACTCTTATGATAGCCACCTGAGAGTCTCAGAATAGTGTAGGAATGGCTAATAAGACCTTTAACAGCAAGCATTTTCTAGTAGACAGCAAGCCATTCTTTTCTGTCTGTTTTGATATGGACTCTAGTATACTAATCATTCATTGTTGTCTCTTGCATTCATACAGAAAGCTGGCGTTCCAATGCAAAGAGAATGCTTAATTAGATGTCTAGACAATATTTTGTGCTGCATTGTAGTTTGGTTAAGATACAATTTCTTTGGAGTGTGGTTGATCTGGCCCTATGATGTTTGTTTTCACAGTATTGATATACTGAATGTCTTGTTCCTCAAGAGAGAAATATCAACAAAAAACTCTGCAAAAGTGCTACATATAAAAACTGAATCTAGACTTACTGATCCCAAAACACCATCTGTATTTATTTTTGAGGGGAGAGGGGAAGAAATCATCCCACAAGAGTTGCACATAGACCTTTCCCTCCTTCCATGAAAGGGAAGGGGGCCCCTACGGTACCCCTGGACCTGTAGAACCCTCTGTAAGGAGCAGGTAGCAAAGACGGGTGCTTTATAAACTTTGTTCCCCCGTTATATCATATGCAGACAGAGGTGGATCTGCTCAAAAGTTAAAGCCTGACACATGCATTCCCTTATCCATGACCCTGTCCATGTGCAAAACCCGTTTTTACGGGACTGGGGGGGGGGAGGGTTCCAGTGGTAGTAGTAGATAGGGAGTCTCTAACAAAGCAATGCTGCCAGCGGGATGGAAGTGGGGAGTAGAGGGCCCTGGAGCCATTATGAAGACACAGGGACACCTCACAAATGACTCTGGTCTAGGATGGGTCCCCTGAAATCCACTGTTCATGGAAGTTGACCCCCCTGCTCATTCTACAATGGACAAACCCTGTCCCCCAATATAACAATCTAGAGAAAGTTCTGTGAGGGGATCGTCCCCCATGCATCTTATCAGTTTTCCATGGGAGGGGGAAATCTGTACCCCAAGCAGGTTCTCAGGGGACTGTTCTATCCTAGTGCCTAACAGAGTTGGCATATGACATTGTTTTTCTTATGAAGAAAAGGAAAAATGGAAAAATCACTGTCAGACTGACCAATGCTGTGGTGAAGAAAATCACCCAGGAGTCTGTGACTCTTGTGGTGGAGGACTAGGCCACAGGTCTGTTATAAGGTGAAGTGAGTTATTTGTTGCCTGAGCTAAGCAACTTCTTGGCTTTTCCCTGAAGCGTCTGGGATGGTTGCAGGGGGAAAATATCTTACCAGGCATATCCTAATACCTGCCAAAATGCTTTAGTTTTCAGAAACTCAGAACACTGAGGTTCCCTAACTACTCCTTCCACTCTTCAGTTGTCCTATATCTCTCCAATATACATCCTTCAAACTTCACCAGTTTTTGACCTTTTGAAGGAAAAAGGGACTCTAGATCTCAGACTCTCAGAAGTCTCCATTTGTTTCTGAGCTGAATGACTTGTGTCACATAAAACTATGAATAGATGAGGTGATGGAAAAAGCCCAAAGAATATTTAAACCATCCTTACATAGACAGGGCACAAGGACTGTTGTGACTATTGCAATACTAATGAAAATGACATATCAATACACCAGGACTCTTCTGGCACTAAGTTGACTTACTATCTGTAGTTTCTTAAGC